TAATTTTCAGGGGAGTATTTACGGGTTTCTTTTTTCAGATCTTTGTTCCGAATGTGTTTATTGTCGGTTTTTATGTCACGCGTGTTTTGGTTTTTGCCAGGGTTCCGCTAGAGAAGTTGTGATTAATACGCTCGTTTTCACACACACACACACACACACACACACACACACACACACACACACACACACACGCACACACACACACACACACACACACACACACACAATGCAGTGTGTTCAAACGAAGAATGTTTCGTCGTTGTTTTGTAGCATGAGGGCGAGGCTGCGCGTCACAATGGCGGACAGCAGCTGGAATCGATCGTCGCCGCTCCTGTTCTGCAGTGCATCAAACGCGGCCCTGTTGCGTTCGTTGCACACCATGAGAGACACGCATGCGCAGGCTTGCAGGTGAGGTACACGAAATACACTGCAACAAACACCGCAACACACACATGTTATCTCGCATGCACGTGAAAACATGCCCTCGGCGCAAAGCATGCAAACGTGCATGTGTGAGTTTCTGCTTCACATACACACACACGCACACGCACGCACCCATGCACAAGCACACACCTGCTGAGGCACGAAACTCTGCAGCGCGTCTTCGCGACGGCACGAAAATCCCGCGGTTGACGAAGCACAAACGACACCTCCCCTGTTGGCGCGAGCGTGCGTGTGGGTCAGCGTGAGTATGGTGTGAGTGTGAGTTTTGGGGTGGGTTTGGGATGGATGATGTGGTCCTACACATTTCACAAAGCCTGCCTCAATTTTCCACGCAGAGCACCAGCGTCGTATTGCACAGTGTAGTTCAACAACTGCACGCACCGAACAAGCTGCCAGGGTGACAGACGAAGCGGCGAGTCACAACGCGACTCGCATCCTCAGTATTGGCACTGCTGCCGCTGCTGCTATCACTGATGTGACTGCCACTGATGCTGTCTGGGTGGTCGTGCGCATGCTGGCGTCCAATTACAGAGCTGCCACTCGCTTCCACATCACTGCCATCGCTTTGGATGAGGGGCTGGCTCTCGTCCTCTCCCTGTTGTTCCTTGCGGCGCAGCCCATTGCCAGGACCAACACCACCGCCGCGACTTCTCATGTTCTGCACCCATGCTGATGGTTCGTACTGCTGCTGCTGCTGCTGCTGCTGCTGCTGCTGCTGCTGCTGCTGTTGATCGTGTTGCGTGTGGCTGTGAAGGCGTCCGTGCGAGACGTCGGAGAGGCGGGCAGCGATGCGGCGAATGCCAACGCGGCTCGAGCGCGCTTTGATGCGCTAGTTGGAACAGCCAGAGATGGCGGTGATGAGGATGTGGACGACAGGCGCGCGGGCGGTGAGAGTCAACGCGATGGGAAAGGGTGACAACGACAACAGCAAACCAAGACGCTTGGCACTAACGAATGAACAAGCAGCACAACACAACACAACACAACACAACACAACACAACGCCATGTGAAACAAAACATCGCCTTACCTTGAGCAAAGCGCCAAGATTTTGGAACGAGTGCGGGTGCCGTAATTCCTCCTGCACTTTCAAGAGCGTGACTTCACCGGACAGCACGAAGTACATCCCATCTCCGTCCTCGCCCTCCGCGAAAATAACCTGTCAATGTCGGGGACGGTCGAATTCAGCGTGAGAACAGCACAATCACACACACACACACAATCACACACACACAATCACACACACACACAATCACACACGCACAGAGGTGCAAGGCAGGCAGACATGGCTCGTCACAGTTCCGTCGCACGTACATCGCCAGCTTCGAATGACTGCGTGCGGAATAGTCGACATGTGCGCTCAACACAATCTAAGGAAACACACGCGCCAAAACGTCGCCGTAAGATCGGTGTTGCACACAATCACCATGTCAAGAAACGAAGTTATGTCAAACACACACACACACGCGCGCGCACACACACGCACACACACGCACACACACACACACACACACACACACATACACACACACACACGCACACACCCCACACACACAAACACACACGAGGCAAAGCGAGCAGGCGGTTGACTTGATGTCGATGAAGATTGAAACGGAGCGCAGAGTCCTCACCTCTCAGATTGCTGGATGGCTCGCCATCGTGGTCCATTGCAAAACCCAACAGCACGTCTGCGCAGAGAAGAAGAGAGAGGAACGGTCAAGGGATGCAATGCACAACAACACTCACATTAAAGCGCTCTAGCAGCACTGTCCAAGCACAAACATAAGCATGGGCGCATGTGCGTGGGCGGACACAGTCGCACATGCGCGCATGCAAACGTGCGATTTCTTGGCGTGCATGGAATACCCACCTTGAAGGGAGAGACGGCTGCAAAATGGAGCGGCGCGTGCGTCCGTCTTGTGGAGGAAACTGTCCTCGCACCACACGAGCGCGTCTTCCAGCGTTTCAAACGCATGCATGTGTTTGGCGACTGGTGTTCAAGGGCAGAAGGAAAAGACAAGTTGTGGGGTGCAGCACACCATGCAACAGCAGCAAGACTCGTGAGGCTTTGATGCAAAAGTGCACACGCACCCCCCCCACCATGCCATGCGTCACTGCATATTACACACACACACACACACACACACACATGATGCACACAATCACACACCCTCACACGCATGTGCACTGACGTGTTGAATGTGTGGTGTCTTTTGGTCGTGGGAGAACGCCGTGCGCATACATGAGGCGGGCGTCGGCGGGTCGCAGTGCACACATGGCCACGATGGCGTTGTGCTGGATGGCAATTTGCTTGATGCTCACAAAGCACGTGCGAATGGCGGTTGCATCAATACCGCACACGCGATGGAAGTCGAGAATGAGATACGTTGGCAGCCTCTTGTTGTTGTTGTTGTTGTTGTTGTTGTTGTTGTTGTTGTTGTTGTTGTTGTTGTTGTTGTTGTTGTTGTTGTTGTTGTTGTTGTTGTTGTTGTTGTTGTTGTTGTCGCTGTTGCTGTTGATGTGCAGGGCTTGCTTGACGTCGCGCAAGATGCCGACGGAGGAGCCGAAGAAGATGTGGCCGCTCAACTCCAGCACAACAAAGCGCTCGTTCTGGCAGTGATGATATCGCAAAGTGCACAAAGGAAACAGCGCACAACAAGCGTTACTTCACGGTGCGAACACACCAAAATCAAAACCTACAGCGGAAACACCCAGTTATGCTAGGCCAAAGCAAGAGTACAAATACCACACATACACACACGCACACACACACACACGCACACAAAGTTGTGGCGCGTATAACACGAGTCGTCGCCACAAGCTATCACAGAACAGCGAGCGCCCAGTACACCGCCAACCCAACGCACTGAGCTGCCGAGGATGTTGCGTTGCTTAAATCCACGAATGGTGTGGCTCTGCTTGTGAACTGGAAGCGTCACATTTGATCGCGCAAACTTGAATATAAACACCTGTGCACATGGCGATTGGCAAGGGAAGAGAGTGAGATGTCGGTGGCGATGAGAAGAAGACGCTGCAAGCTGCTGCTCACACCGCGGCACCAGCACACAAACATACTGCTCCCACATTCATTGCAACGCGTGAGTGGGAATGAACAGCTGCATATGGAAGTGCTCACGAGATCACCCAAACACATAAACAAACAAACAAACAAACAAACAAACAAACAAACAAACAAACAAACAAACAAACAAACACACCAGGATTGAGAGCGCAATGCCAATGCCAATGCCGGCCTCAAGATTGGTCAAGTTGATGCCGATAAACGTCAACCAGATGATCACGTACTCGGACATGTGCACTGCAGAGAGCGGGTATGTGCGCGCGCGCGCGTGTGTGTGTGTGTGTGGATGTGTGTGTGTGTGTGTGTATGTGTGTGTGTGTGTGAACGACGAGCGCGGCAGCTTTGACCGTTTGCGAGGGAGGTGATTAACCACTTCAACCATCCCCTCTGGGGACAGGTAGGCGCTGCAAGACCACCGCAAACAGAAGCAACACCAACAACAACCACCAACAACCACCACCAACCACCACCAACAGGAACAGCAGCATAGAGAAGTGGTCAAAGTGGCCGCGTCGACCGACAATCAGCGATGGTGGCTTCCACACCGCACCGAGTTTGAAGGAGCCCAGAAGCCAGCAGTAAAGGAGGTCGATGCCAATGAAGGTCAGGATGGCGGCGAAGAAGAACTTTGGAACATAGGCCAGTACCGATACGGGAAGGGCAACCACCACAAGCCCGATAACCGCCTCCGTGGCACCAACCAGACGCGTGTGGATCTACACAGCGCAGACGCAAGTGGATGGATGGGTGAACATCAAGCATACGTGCTTGAACAACGCCAACGACATCCTCACACACTGCAAAGTTGGCCAACACACACACACACACACAGAGCACAAGCGGGCCGAACCCGTGTGCAGCCTCACGTTTGCCTTGAGGTTGAAGATGCACTGGGAGAAGATGTAGCTGCCTGTGTACCCGCCCGTGACGCCGGAGACAAAATTGGACAGCCCGACCGTCATGAGCTCGTGGTTGAAGTCCAGGGACCGCCCAAGCTCCATCTAAAGGCACCAGGAGCGCGCATGTGTGTGTGTGTGAGTGTGTGTGCGAGAGTGTGAGAGAGTGTGTGTGTCTGTGCCTGTATGTGTCCGTGTGTGTGTCTGTATGTGTCCGTGTTTTGTTTGTGCGTCTGTGTGTGTGTCTGTGTGTCTGTGTGTGTCTGTGCCTGTGTTTTGTTTGTCATGATTTGTGGCGGATGCTGTGGAAAGCAGCGCAGATGCAAGTCGCAAGCACGCGTATGCGCGCATTTCACAGGCACGCAGCATTGACAGGGGATGATGTGCGCCCACCTGGATGGCTGCCACGTCGAGACAGGAGCCGAAAGCGACAACAAAATACATGGCAAACCACGTGGGAAGAACGTGCGGAACAACGGACCAGTCGACCTTGCTGAACTTGAAGTCGTCGTAAATGTGCCAGAACTCGGACGTGTTTGTGACGGGATCGAGCCACCCCTGCCCATACGCATGGCGGGCTTCGCTCAGCGGCACCTGTTGGCGTGTGGGGATGTGAGAGAGGGCATGTACATGTGTGTGTGCGTGTGTGCGGATGTGTGCATGTGTGTGTGCAGATGTGTGCATGTGTGTGTGTGCGGATGTGTGTGCGTGCGTGTGTGCATGTGTGTAAGTGTGGACATAAGTGTGCATGCAAACATTTTGGAGAGGTTTTGTATGTATGTGTGGATGTGTACGTGGATGTGCGCTGTGTCAGACGGCTGATTTAGAAGAACAACGGAAGCAACAGCGCGCACACACGCACACATCACACATTACGCGTCTCACAAGGAGAAGCGAGCCAACAAGCACGCCCATTGACCACATTACCTTTGCGATGAGCAGAATGATGTGGAACACAATGGGGATGACAAGGAGACAGCACGGAAGGACGGCAAAGTGGCGGAACTTGGAGGTGATTGCGATGAGCAGGAGCCCGAGGATGATGCCCAGGGTCACGAGGATGGCCGAGTCGCGGTTGAACAGCCGCCACCAGTCCCCCATGAAGATCACCCGCTTCCCCGTCATCAGCGACAGGCCTGGCATTGTGTTTTGTGTGTGTGTGTGTGTGTGTGTGTGTGTGTGTGTGTGTGTGTGTGTGTGTGTGTGTGTGTGTGTGTGTGTGTGTGTGTGTGTGTGTGTGTGTGTGTGTGTGTGTGTGTGTGAATGAATGAATGAGTGAGTGAGAGGGAAACTCGCGGAGGACTTTTCAATCTTGAAATCAGATCAAAGAGTGTCAAGTCGGCCAGTCATCACCACATGCTCGCTCATATGCACACGTGAACACGACGAAGCAAGAACACATGAAGGTAGTTTCACTCGCACCTGCCTCGAGGCAATAGAACCCGATAAAAGCAAGGTAGCCACCAATGACGGGCATGGGCAGGTACTGCACGAGCGAAGCAAGCTTGAGCCTGCAGCCAGAGGTTGGTTGGTGAGGGGGGGGGGGGTGCAGCGGGAAGCGGTTGGAACGAACGAGCAGCAACAACCAAACGTCAGTATTATTCCCTCAACGTGACAATTAAGTGCACACATTCAACATGTGCACGCACGTGTACACATGAACACAAAACACCTTCACACACACACACACACACGCACACGCACACAATGTTAGTACAGACATATAGACACGCAAATATGCGCACGCAATTCATGCACATATGCACGCACATCGACACGCACCTTCCAGTGACGATGAGGGCGAGACCGAGGGCGGCTGTGCTGACGGCCAGCCAGCAGAGGACGGTGGCAAGGATGACTTCACGGTCGTGGTTGTGATGGAGCCCGTGCTTCACAATGGTCGTGGCCATGCTGGACAGGAAGATGAGGCCAGCATCTTGCACCTATGGCGGCGTGAACAAAAATGCCACATGGACAACACGTGTGGGACGAGTGTGAGGGTCAAAGGTAAGCCCTGCATGCAACCGAGGAACACGACGTAGACAACTCCGCTTGATGTGACACCAAGAACGCTCACACTTGTACACGTGCACGATTGTACACACGTGCACACAGACTGGCACACTTGCACACACTTGCGCGCACGCACACACACACACACACGCACACTTGACCACGAGCACATAAAACACACACACACACACACACACACACACAAAACACACATATGCACATGTACATGTACCTGGCCGATGGCAAAGGGAAGGGAACTGGCGATGCAGAAGATGGTTTGATGGATGCAGCCGGAGAGCAGCACAAGCTTGATGAGCGTTGGCATGGAGGGCTTGAAGTACTCATCTCGAAAGATGATCTGCGCAAAGGAGATGAGAAGTGGTACCAACACCACCGCATTGACCATGCCATACACCACGGCTTTGATGATTGCCCGTCGCCTGCCTCCGCGACTACCATCATCTCGGGGCTTCTGCGACATTGTCGACGACGTTGATCGCGAAAAGCCGCTGCCGCCACCGCCACCAGCAGCAGCAGCGACACCGTTTGTGACGGAGGCTGCGTCTTGAGCATGGCCATACAAGTCTGCAGCAGCCACGTGATTCCCAGCTGCTGTGTGGTATGGTTTGCCACCTTCGGCGGCGTTGATGCTCGTCGTGCCCGCTGTCAGATCGTGTGATGCGGACAGGCGCGAATGTGCGCTGCCCAGTAGCGGTGTGTGCTCATCGCTCACGACATCATCTTCATCTGCACCGCCATGCCCATCATGGTCAGGCAGTAGCTCGTGTGCATATGCACTTTGAGCTGCATCCACACCGTCGTGTACATCGCTGCTGCCCTCGCAGCCATCGTCGCGGCATTCTCTGTCGCTGGTGCTGTCCACGGAGCCCTCAAGCGTAACGGAGGAAGAGTGCGAGAGGGTCGGTTGCGACACAGACCGATGGAGCGGGTGTGGCCGGGTTCGCTTGTGCCCCCGCAGGGAAGAAGGCGAGCCCCTGGGCAAGCGGCGAGGGGGTGATGGCTCACAGCGCACCTGGTCCGTGCCGAGCATGTCGACAATCACGTCGGCTGCACGGCGGCTTGAGTCTGCGGCTGCCGCATCTTGCTCCTGTGGCTGCCCCTGTTGCTGCCGCTCCTGTGAGTCCGCGCGTGCCGGGGACAGATAGTCGGATGATGTGTCGGGGCTGCGGTGCCGTTCGGCAAAGGAGTCGTGATGGAAGAAGCTCCCAAGGGTTGTGCAGCGCCGCATCGGGGAATGTGTTGCTGGAGTGCTGCCTGCTTCAACGAATCCCACACAGCGGGTTCAGGGTCAACAGGGGAGAGGAGGTGGGTGAGGACGTTGGGTGAGGATTGGTGTCAGTCAGTGTGTAAGTGACCGAGATGGTGGGGGGGGGGCGAGGGCTTGGTGAGAGAAAAGTGGTAAAGTGGATGGGGGAGGGAAAGAAAGGATGGAGGGAGCCTGTGAGAACGTGTGTTGCGTTTGCAGTCTTGTGGTTGCTCTGTATCTTGAGTGAAGCGACTGCGCGACATGAAGCTCGTGTCAGCAAGGTGCATGTGTGCGTGTGTGCGCGTGCGGTGTTGGTCGCTTGTGCGCTTGTGGACGTACGGGTGCCTTTCTGGAACCTTCAGGTTGGCGCACGATGTTGCCACTGCCGACATCATCAATGCAGACGAAAGGTTGATGTTGTTGATGCTCTTGGTGCTGCCGACAATGATCACGCATCGCCAAGAAGCGACACTTGCTTGCGTTGATCGGTGTTTGTGTGTGGCGTTGTGTGTCGAACTTCCGCCAAGCAAGCAGCGAAACGAATAACAATAAGTGAGGACTGCCCTGAAGTGTGTGGCAGGCGGCAGGCAAACGGCCATGCCAGGGTCAGCCGTGTGTGGCAGGCTCATGCCGTCGACGAAGAGCAGCGAAAGCTGCCACCATCTTGAACCATCATCACGGTGGCCCTCTTGCGTTAATTGCTTCTGCGGTTTTACATTTCGCCACGAGTGGGAAGAGCACTCGTCATCGCACTTAAATTTCGTGGCGTGTGAATGTGATGTCGTTGCGGTTGGATGGTGCTTCGTTTACTTACATGACATGACCGACATTATGCCGAGGCAGCAGCTACGGGTTGTGTGTGTGTGTGTGTGTGTGTGTGTGTGTGTGTGTGTGTGTGTGTGTGTGTGTGTGTGTGTGTGTGTGTGTGTGTGTGTGAGTGTGTGTGTGTGTGTGTGTCGCGGTTATGTCACACGGCGCACACGTCTTGTGCAAAAGCGCATCACGAAAACGCCAAAACGCAGGCACAGTTGAGAGGCAGCATGTGTGTGCGCGCATACGCACTCTCACTCAAGCAGGTACATAAACACACACACACTCTCTCTCTCACCCACGCACACACACGCGCACACACGCACACACACAGACACACACCTGTCGACAAGCTTTGGTATACTCGGCCAAAGGTTCTGCAATGTGTTCAAAGCCAAGCGCATTCATGGCCTCGAGAAGATCCTCGCACCTGAGCACCTTGCGGCCTTCCTTCTCTGCTCGGTCTGCAGCCTCGCTCGTGACAAAGCTGCCGTCACAGACATTCACATTCACATGCACATGAACACGAACACGAACATGAGGCAAGGACGTCGAGTGATGGCCGTCGACGTTAGCACCAGTAGCGAACAGACCCGACATCATCATTCACACACACACACACACACACACACCTCACAAACTCTGACGCGCACTCCTGCATGAGAATCTTTGACGAGTCGGAAATCTGTTGGTGCGTGGTGAGGTTACATTACGTACAACAAAGCAGGAAAATCGTCAGGCCTGAACGCAGAAGTTGTCATTGCCAACGGGAGGGAGAGGGGAGAGGGGACCAGGCAGTGGGGGAACCAGGCAGTGGGGGGACCAGGCAGTGGGGGGGGGGGGACCAGGCAGTGGGGGACACACACAAACGGACACACAAACACACAAACACACACACACAAACACACAAACACACACCAACAAACACACAAACACACACCAACAAACACACAAACAGACACACACACAAACACACACAGACATACAAACACACGCACACACACAGACATACAAACACACAAACGCGCACCTTTGTGTTGACAGTGGTCCTCATGATGCGATACACGTTGCCCTGTGGCAACAGCCGATCCTGGAAACGTCAAATGCACAAGACAAGCTTGTGAGTGCAACAACGCACGAACCAAACCACCAAGCAATCACAACCAAGCAACAGCAACTTTACTCAACAGACAACACAGACAAGCCCGACAAGCCCACATCATCATCATCATCATCATCGTCGTCGTCGTCGTCCAAACAACAACAACCCCTCTCCCCCTTCCCTCTTTCTGCTTTCTTCGCTGACTTGGCTTTCTTGAAGAACGTTGTGGCGTTGATCGTCTGCACCTGGTGCCCCTTCCAACAGATCCTCATCCTCGTCCTCATCCTCATCATGAACACCGCCACCATACGGATGAGGATGGTGGTGGTGGTGGTGGTGGGAAGGTGGCGGCAGTCCGCTCATGTTGTGATTCAAAAGAACGCCGCTTGCGACAGCACAAAAGAACGGCTATGGCAGCGGGAAAACCATGTGCCCGACCCAAAATTTTCCGCGCCAGCCACAAGCAACAGCAACAACTTCCGGTTGTGTTTGTGTTTTGGCGACGAGAGACAGCAGACAAGCAAGCAAAGCAGATACCCTCTCCGCTGCATGCCACCCAGCCAGTTCCCGCACGCCACCACCGCACACCATTTTCCACCAACCAAACCAACTACCGAAGCAGAGGCACGCCACCGCTCAGCGATTCACACGACAGCAAACCATCTGTTCACATCAGCCCTTGGCTTGATCGAGCAACCACCACACCTACCACAACAAATCACACAATGTCTGGACAAGGCGTCACAAAGAGGTGTGTGTGTGTGTGTTGCGTGTGTTGTGTGTCTGTGTGTGTGCTCTGCGCGTGTGTATGTGTGTATGTCTGTCTGGCTGTGCTCTGTATGCACAAGATTCGTTGGTGTTGTTGTTGGTATTGCTGCCTTTTCTTCACATCGCTTCGCTTCAACTTGTGCTGTGCTGTTTTGTTTGTTTTGCTGCAGGCTGCGACAGGAGCTCATGGGCATCATGATGGCCAAGGATGCATCCATGAAGGCGTTCCCTGAAGGCGACAACCTCTTCCAATGGAAGGCCACCATCGTGGGCGCTGAAGGCACCGTAAGTACTCTCTGTCTATGGTGTCTGCCTGCCTCTCTGGCTCTCTGTCTTTGTCTCTGTCTCTGTCTGTCTCTCTCTCTCTGTCTCTCTCTCTCTCTCTCTGTCTCTGTTTCTCTCTGTGGCTGTCTCTCTCTGTGGCTGTCTCTCTCTCTCTCTCTGTATCTCAACGTCTCTTGCTCTGTTCCTTCCTTCCTCACCCTCTTCCCTTTCTCCTCCTCACCTCCATTCAAACCCTCACGTTGCACTTTCTGACCTCCTGCCTTCCCTCCCTCCCCCCATCCCAATCCAACGGACAGTGCTATGCAGATCTCAAGTACAAGCTGACCATCAAGTTCCCAACAGACTACCCGTACACCGCGCCAACCGTGACCTTTGACACACCATGCTTCCACCCCAACGTGGACACGCACGGCAACATCTGCCTGGACATTCTCAAGGAGAAGTGGTCGCCCTCGTACGACGTGCGCACGGTCCTGCTGTCCATCCAGAGCTTGCTCGCAGACCCCAACGTCGACAGCCCGCTCAACTGCCACGCAGCAGAGCTGTGGTCAAACCCGGCCTTGTACAAGGAGAAGCTCAGCCGCCACTACGAGGAAAACGTGCGCAGCCGAGGCGTGTGCTAATAAGCTCCTCACCGCCCCAGCGCCAGCACCAAACAATGGCAGCAGCACCCGACCACGCTTGCTCAGTTACTCCCATCTATGACGCAGCACAAGGGCAACGATGGCTGTTCACGTAACAGTCCCCCCCCTCTCTGTGGCGGATCAATTGCTGCCCCGACTGGTGTTTTGTGTCACAGCAACCCCTCTTCTCCCGTTTCTCCTCTCATCTCCACCATGTGTTTCCTTCCCTCGCCCCGCCCCCTCTTCTCTTCTCTTCTCTTCTCTTCTCTTCTCTTCTTCCCCGCCTTCTAATCGGTTCTGCCCGCCTGTTTGGCTGCTTGTCTTATCTCCTCGTGAACAAGTGGAAGTAGTCGACGTGGATGTGATTGTGATGGATCCTCTTACAGGTTCTGTTGCCTCTGTTGCCGCTTTTTCTCCCCCATTATGTAGCTTTAATTGTGGGGATTCCGTGCTGTGTGCGCGCGTGCTCATGTACACATGCATGTGGTGGCGGTGGCTGATGCCACGAGTGGGCTGTGCTTGATGCGATGTTCGCTCTCTGTCCAGCCCCTTTGTATTGATTGGCTTGCCATCCCTGCCACCGCTTCTCTTCCCCTGCCGCTCCTCTTTCCTACAGTTCAGAAAACACGCACCATACATGCACACACACACACACACAAAGCACGCGCTTGTACCCACCGTGACATTAATTCAAACATGGAAAAGAAAAATACACAAACAACAACAAACGTGGAGTGGGTGGCTGTTACCGAGTGCTTGCTTACACACACACACACACACACACACACACACACACACACACACACACACTTTCTCTCCCGTTGTTCCGTGGCATGCGTGCTCGAGTTGTATGTTAACAACGACAACAAACAGCACACATGGGGTCGCAAGAACACGACAGTTGCCCAGATTGACATCCAACAAAGCGGGCGCGAAAGGGAAAGAGTCTAACATAACAAACAACGAAAGCGGCCAACAAAACAAACAAACCACACGACCACATCAACCACATCCACCACAAACATGACGACACAACACCACCGAACAACACAACACACAAAGAAGACATGCCTATCAAGGCTGCTGGTGTCTGTCTTGTCTGCTTCCCTTCTATCCACAAAAGGAAGGCTGTTGAAAGTGGATGGATGATCGGGGGAGTTCTTTACTTCTGGGCAGCGGCCTGCTGCTTGGCGCGCTCCTGGTAAAAGGTGGAGACGACCTTCCAGCCAGAGGGGCACATGAAGCCGTCTGGTGGGTTCTGCCCCTCGCGCGCAAGCTTGCGCATCTTGGAACCGGAGATGAACTCAAAGTCCTCGGCCTTGGCCGGGTCAAAAAAGTCCATCTTGCCCTTCTGCTTGTTGTAGGCGGCGACGCGGAAGGGGATGATGGTGAGGCTCTCAAGGCCGGGCGCCATCTGCAGCACCTCGCGGCCGTGGTCGGCGTGGTACAGGTTCTCGTCCTCCTTGCCGGGGTGCTTCATGCCGGCCGGGTCGCGGCCAACAATGTAAAAGTCGGCGCCGGCGTTCATGCGGGCCTTGGCGTGCCACTGCACCTCCGTGGGGCCGGCATACATCATGGGCGAGGGGAAGATGGCCACCACCGTCGACTCCTCCGGCAGCACGCCCTCGTTGAGCACGCACTCGTGCTGCTTCATGCGCGTGGGCAGCGGCACGTCGTCGGCCTTGGTCCAGCCGCCGAGCGGGTGCAGCAGCAGCACAGGGTTGCGGAAGCCCTTCTCAATGAGGCGGCGGCGCGTGTCCTGCATGAGCAGGGCGTGGCCGTTGTGCACGGGGTTGCGCAGCTGGAAGGCGTAGACGGCGTCCGCGTTGCGGCGCTTAAACTCGGCCTTGAGCTCCTTTGGGGTGAGGCGGTACTGGTCCAGGCCGTCGTTCCACTTGATGCGCTGCAGCACCTCCAGGTCGCCGCCAACAAGCCAGTCGCCGGCAGCCATCACCTGGGCAATGTACGGGTGGCCGGCCTCCGTGGTGCCCCACTGGCGCGCGCAGCGCTCCTCCTTACGCGCCTCGAAAAACTCTGGGTTGCGCATGATGGCCAGGTCCTTGCCCTCGTACACCAGGGTGATGGCCTTGGCGGAGCTCAGCTGCTCCTTCTCCTCCGTCGTCGCCGGGCACACAATGGGCACGGACATGTTGGTCATGCTGCCGTCGGCCTTGCGCAGCGCGTTGAAGTGGATGGTCTGCAGAAACTCCTTCTCGCGCATGAAGCCGCGCAGGGGGGAGGCCCAGCCCTCGGAGAGCACCTGCAGCCACTGCGTGGTGAGCTTGTCAATGTTGAGCTTGGGCAGGGCGGCGGCCTCCTCCGTCTTGGCGGCGACCTCGGCCTCGGGCACAAACAGCTCCTCCGCGGCAGGGTGCATGTTGGGGATGATGCCCTCCTCCTCGAGGTAAGCCAGCACCTGGCGCACGTTCTCGGCGACGGACTCGCCGCGCGTGCCGACGGTGATGTCCGGCTTCTCGGGTGCCTCGTACACGCCGTCGACGCCAGTGAAGCCCTTGATGATGCCGGCGCGGGCCTTCTTGTAGAGGCCCTTTGGGTCGCGCGCCTCGCACACGTCGAGCGGGGTGCCGACGTAGCACTCGATGAACTTGAGGCCGGCGTCCTCGTGCAGCTTGCGGCAGCTGTCGCGGTCGGCGCGGAAGGGGGAGATGAAGGAGGCGAGGGCGATGATGCCGCCATCGGCGAAGAGCTTGGCCACCTCGCCGACACGGCGGATGTTCTCTGCGCGGTCCTCGGGAGAGAAGCCCAGGTTCTTGTTCAGGCCCGTGCGCATGTTGTCGCCATCGAGGCCGTAGCAAGGGATGCCACGCTGGCAGAGCTCAGCCTCCACAGCGAAGCTCAGCGTGGTCTTGCCAGCACCAGACAGACCTGTGTGTAGCAAGCAGAACAAGGAGGAAGGAGGGCGAAGGAGGAAGAGGGGACATGGGGAGGAGAAAGAAGGGGGAGAAAGAAGGGGGGGGGAATTGCAGGGAGTGGAAGAGGTAGAGATGATATGCCGTGCGAACGTGAGAGGATGAACAGCAAAGCAGAGGAATGTACGTGTGCATGTACATGTGTGGGGGTGTCGTGGTGTGTTGATGATCTGCGATGCGAGAAGTCATGCATGCACGCATGATGGTGCATCCGTATGCATGTTCGTGCATTCACACACACACACACACACACACACACACACACACACACATACGCCACACATGGGGCTGCGCAAATTCCGGCAACGCACCAGTGAACCAGATGGTGCAGCCACGGAACTTGACATCGACACCGAGGATTTGGGCGCGCTTGGAGCGGGTCACGTTGTGCTTGACAGCCGTGACGTTTGTGGCCTTGGTATCAGACATGGTTGGCTTTTTGGTCGGAAGGGAACGAAAGTCGCAGTTGTTCTGTGGCACAGACAAAAAGACAAGCAAGAGACAAGGTGCAAAGTGGGTTGTGCGTGAGGGCCGTGTGCTGACGATCGCGATGGAGGACACCCAGATAGATAGCCACAAAAAGGAGGGAACGCTGTCGAGACACACACTGACATACACATATGGGGCGAGGTGCGCTCTCAATGTTCCCTCCCTTCATCCACGACAGCGTTGGCTGCAGCCTCGCGCACACACACACATCCACACACACACACACCACACACACACACACACACCGTGAACAACAAAGGCGGAGACGACGACGGTTGGTTGGCCGAGAGCGAGTGAATGGGAAAAAGGCCAGTAAGCGCGGCAACAACGACAAGCAACCAACAACAAGGGAAGACACTCGTGCTGCTTGCCGCCAACACAATACAGCACTGGATGGAAGAAAAAAATAAAATGATGTCGATTGTTTGCAATGAATCGATTGTTTGCGAAAGATGCAAATTCATCAACAATGCATGATAAAGCGTAGCAGAGCTGGGACTCGCTGAGTCAGCATTTTCTGAAGCAAATCCCTGCCAACCGGCCAACAACCAACAACCAACACAGTGCAGCAGGATGGGGGACGATGCTGGTGGCAGCAAGCCTGAGGAGGTCGACATCAGGCGAAACTTCAACTACGCACTCGTCGTGGTGGGTGCTCTGTTCTTTTGTGTGTGTGTGTGTGTGTGTGTGTGTGTGTGTGTGTGTGTGTGTGTGTGTGTGTGTGTGTGTCGATCCATCGAGGAGTGGTGTGCGTGTTCTTCCTTCGCACCTTCCTTTCTTCCTCGCCAAGCTCATCGGCACTTCCGGCTTTCCTCCAACACAGAAAACAGACATGAACGAGGAGATGTTGGCAGAATGCACGGAATCCGCACAAACCGCGATTGAAAAGCACTCCAAAAGCAACGAGGTCCGGTGGCACGTGTCGTACGGTGGTTGTGTGTATGTATGCCTCTCTGTGTGTGTATGCCTCTGTGTGTGTGTGTGTATGCCTATGTGTGTTGCATCAACGTCACTGCTTCCCTTGGCGTCTGCATCTATACTGCATTGTACTCGAGAAGCGTGTAGGCACAAACACACGCACAACAACATACACGCAAACACAACACAAACACGTTTATCCCCTCACAAGACCAACACACACACACACACACACACACACACACACACACACACACACACACACACACACACACACACACACACACCAGGATGCGGCAAATATGCTCAAGGGCATTATGGACAAGAAATTTGGCGCCCCATGGTGAGTCGACACACGCGTGAGTTGTGGTTTGGGTTGCAGTCAAGAGTGCAGTCAAGAGTGCAGTCAAGAGTGCAGTCAAGAGTGAGAATGCAACCAATGCTCAAACGAAATCGCCCCTGCAAACACCCTGTGTGCCTGCTCCCAGGAACGTGATCATCGGCGAGGCATTTGGCTTCGAGATCACCCACCAAACATCAAACATGATGTACATGTTCTTTGGTGGAAACCTGGCTGTCCTGGTCTGGAAGTGCCAGTAGTCATAGCTCGAGCATTGATGCTTTGGTTATGTTTGTACGTGGATGTGTGTACGTGAGAGTGAATGTGTTGTTTATGTGTGAGAGTGAATGTGTTGTTTATGTGTGAGAGTGAATGTGCTTTTTTTGTCGCTGCTGTTGCTGTTGCTGTTGTGCATGATGGCGTGTAATGGGACACAGCCCCTGCGCTGTTGCTTCTTGTCGCCGCTCTCGAACCGTGTTGTGTGTCGGTTGCTCAAGTCACATCGCATCACACCGTCATGTCACAGGTGGTGCGTGCTTCTTTGACCTTTCTTTGTCGTTGCTTGGCTCTCGTTATCCAAGGGCGTTGTACGCCCGGCTGCTTGCTGTGACCCCCCCCCCCCCACCCCACCCCACTGCTTATCTCTGTCTTTCTGTTCTGTGCTGTTTGTTGTGCAAGTTGCTGTTCGTTTTTCCTGTGCACTACGAGCGTGTTGTTGGCTGTTGCACCTTATTCAATGCAATAAAAGCAAAACGGAGATCCTATTGTATGATTTGAGTGGACAAGGGGCTGACGCGCAACAGTAACACACAAACACAGCCGGCAGCACGACACCAAGTCACGACAGCGCAACACCATGCACACAGCAGCCAGCCAGTTGAAACAGAAAGAAAGGCACCGCAAGGAAAACTGCGCTGACAGCGACGCGGTCAACGAAATGTGAGCAATTACCAACACAAGAAGCAGCAAAGGAAAGGAGAGAGCAGAGTAGCATGGCAATGGCATCTGTTCGTGTGTGTGCGTGGGGTGAGTGGGTGATGCGATGAGACAGGTGCTTGAACAGTGTGCACGCACAGGTGATCATGGCTGCCTGTGCAGATATGAAAAGGGTAACGACTGGACTCAAACGAAAAAGAGCCAAATACGCGGTCAACTTCAAAGCAACAAAGCAACAAAACAAAACAAAAGTCAAACACCACAAGAAGCGAAGCAAAAACGCATCCCCAGCCAGCAGTGGGAACCGGAACGGCGCTGGCATCGTCGCCGCCCGCAGCTCACAGGAGCAGCAAAGAGCAGGGTGATGAACACACCGTCAACCAAGGAGGACGCGCACACCACACCATTCATCCGAACCACCACCACATCCAAGTCCCCACATATCACGATACTTCACCCTGTCCGGCCATCTCCGATCATGTGCATCTCATCTGTTCCTCCCCCCAAACTATCGATCATATCGCAAACATCTCCACGGTGCCGTATTTCTTCTTCAGCGGAGACGGGCGCGGGCGGTTGCGGTTGCGGTTTCCCGGCGACTCGACAAAGTCGTGCCGCGCAACCTCCAGCCCTCGCGTCGACACGAGCCACCGGTGGTACCTGGGTTGCAAGGTGGTGGTGGTGGTGGTGGTGGTGGTGGTGGTACATGTTGTAGGGGGTGTTGTGAGCGCGCAAACGGGAGGCATTCAGGGATGTGGACATGTGGACACGAATAATTGACACGTAACGAGGGGACAAAAAGGCACGACGCGCTCAAATTTCACACACAGAGCACACACACACACACACACACACACACACACACACACAAACACACAAACACACACACACACACAAACAAACAAACACACAAACAAACAAACACACAAACACAAACAAACAAACACACGCACCTGTGCACGGAGAACATGACGAGGAGGACAACAATGGTGATGATGAGCGGGGCGGCAACGGCGGGAACGACAATCTTGTCAACCCGGCGCTCCACGGAGACCTTCAGACGGGCGTGGTTGGAGATGCTGATGGCGTTGTTGGCGGTGAGCAGCACCACGTGCTTGCCCGTGCTGTTGAAGATGTGGGACGCCCGGCACTCGTCCTCCGCAAACACAGTCGTGTTGTCGTCGGAAAAGTGGTACGCAAACAGCGGCCGCGTGCCGTTAAAGGTGCAGTTGATCAGCAGCTCCTGTCCAAGATACACACTCATGCTCTTGGTGATGTTGTTCAGGTCCCCAAACTCTTCCACAGGCACTGCATGCACGGCACGCGGTGCTCGGCGTCGGCCCTGTCGACCAATACCACTGCCTTCGTGGTCAACACCACGAACACCACCAGCACCACTGTGGCTGTCACCCCTGCCGTATCTGGCTTCACCCCACCATGACGACGGCCACCACCACGATCGCGATGATGGCGACGCTGGCGCACCTCCGCTGTATGCCTGGTCACGTGCAGCAGCACTGCCAGCACCACCGCCACCATCATCATGATAACTTGGGCCGCTGTCAGTGTTGCCAGGACTGCCGACACTGCCGTCGTCCCTTCTGCTCCTTGTCCCAGGCCCACCGCCGGGTGACGTGATGCTCGCGTCGATGCTCAGGATGGACACGGGCGCCTGCGCCTCCAAGTTGTAGGTGCACGTGGATGCAGACCACTCGTTCTCTGCAGCCGTGCGGATGGTGTGCACCCCCGTGGTGTTGAGGGCGTACGTGACGTTGGGCGTGTGCGTGACCACGGCCGTGTGTGGGTTGAGGCCGTTCCAGCGATACGTGGTCGGGCGCGTCAGTGCCGGGTCCGGGAACACGGACACCGTGAGTTCAAATGGCGCGTTCACCCGCACGGCCTGCTCTGGTGGGCCTTGCACTTGGCACGAGGTGAGGTTGGCCGGGGTGAAGAAGGTCACCTCCGCAGACCCTTCGGGCTCCCAGCGCTCCTCCAAGAAATGGTGCTGCACAAACACCCTCGCTGTGTGAAGGCCGACGCTGTAGGTGTGATTGAAGAGGTAGTGGCACACCTCGGGCGTGTCTTGCGGGCACTCCTTCTCGGCCACAAGGTCCGGCGCGCCCGTTTGGTTATAGAAGAACATGAACAGCCGAAAGCGGGTGTAAATCTGCCTGTGCCAGGACACGTCAAAGTGCTGCAAGCCAAGCTGCGTGCCATGCTCCGTCTCCATCATCACTGTGCCTGCAAATTGTCGTGCAATGGTGCGTTTGTGTATGCGCACATGTGTGTGTGTGTGTGCGTGCGTGTGTGTGTGTGCGTGCGTGCATGTGTGAGAGGAAACAATGAAGAGGTGAGAGCTCACTGTTGTCTGCTGTGTGAACTGTGTTGGGGTGGATGACGACGTAATTGCACACACTCGTAGGCGTCGAGGACGCGCTCTGCGGCTCCGCCACCACACGCGCATACAAGATCACACACATACACACACGCGCGCGCGCGCACGCACACACACACGCACACACACACACACACACACACACACACACACACACACGCGCGCGCGCGCGCGCACGCACCGGCGTTTGTGGAGCTGAACAAGACGCTGGAGCACGCGAGGGTCGACAGCAACAGCGCAACGGCGACGCCATGGCGTGTTGCCACGCCGAGCATCCAGCTCCCTGCAGATCTCGATCTGCAGCTGCGCCTCAACCTCATCGACCGCAATGCGTTGTATCCCCGTGTGTGTGTGCGTGTGTGTGTGCGTGTGTGTGTGTGTGTGTGTGTGTGTGTGTGTGTGTGTGTGTGTGTGTGTGTGTGTGTGTGTGTGTGTGTGTGTGTGTGTGTGTGTGTGTGTGTGTGTGTGTGTGTGTGTGTGTGTGTGGTTTTTGGGGTTTGTGTGTGTGTGTTTGCGTTGCTCGCGCGATATATCTGATCTACTGTTTATGGTGTTGAATTTAAAGAAGTCGTCGTCTCTGCCCTCTCTGCTGGCACACCCATCCCTCATTGCTCACTCGCCCACGCCTTCTGCGTCTGTGTTTGTGGGCGACGCTGTTGTGTTGGTGGTTGCTGAAGAGGGCAGGGAGGTGATGCCTGCTGCGCGCGCCATGCCGTAAAACACAGAGTCGCACCGGTCCATCAGCGCTTGCGGCGTGTCAAACTCAACCACTTTTCCGGCATCCAGCACCATCACACGATCGCTGCACACCAGAACAAGCAAGCAAGCAAACAAACAAGCAGCACAAGTTTGGTGGTTGGAGGAAAGTGTCACCAGTGTGAGTGAAAGCAAGGACACGTGGTGCACCAGCGAGATGTAAGGGCTTTGGAGGGAAGCAAGAACGAAACACATGAAACGAACACAACATAGCGCAGGAAAACAACCACATACAATTGACCCTGCCCTCAAACAAACAAGCACACGCACGCACGCACGCACGCACGCACGCACGCACGCACGCACCTGTCGAGGATAGTGTTGAGACGATGGGCAATGGTGAGGATGGTGCAGTCCTTGAAGACGGTGCGGATTGTCTTCTGAATCAGCTCGTCCGTCTCCAAATCCACGGCTGCCGTCGCCTCATCCAGCACAAGCACCTGCGTGTGATGTGATGTGATGTGTGTGTGTGTGTGTGCGTGCGTGTGTATGTGTGTGCGTATGTGTGTGCGTGCGTGTGTATGTGTGTGCGTGTGTGTGTGTGAATGCAAAACAGAGAGAGAGAGAGAGAGAAAACGGACATGAGCTCATGAAAAGAAGAGACAAGCCAGTCCACACTTTCCACACACAAACACAGATATTCGCATCATTCACATGGCAAACCTTGGTCTTGCGGAGCACGGCGCGTGCAAGACAGATGAGCTGACGCTGGCCAACGGAAAAGTTCTCCCCTGATGTGAACAAGGAACACAAAAAAGAGGGTCAGGGTCAGTGTGGGGTGGAAGAGACACAAAAGCAAACAGTGCAATGAAAAAAAAAAAAAACAGCAAGCCAATCACAGCGCATCACACACACACATACGCACTCACACACTCACACACGCACTCACTCACACACTCACACACGCACTCACTCACTCACTCACTCACTAAAGCACACGTGTACGTCGCAGTACCAAACGCATGGGGAACACCTCACCTCCTTCGGCCACCTCAAACTCCAGTTTGCCCTCCAGATTGGCGATGACGTCCTTGAGATGGCACGTCTCCAACGCATTCCACAGCTCCGCATCCGTGTAAAGGGAGAGTGGATCCAGGTTTCGGCGAACAGTGCCGGAGAAGAGGACCGGGTCTTGAGGCATGATCGTCAGTCGTGATCGAAGGTCGTCCAGTCCAAAACTCGCAATGTTCTGCAATAATCAAAGGCGATACACCAACAAGCGACCGAGCAAGCGACACGACATGAGTGAGCATGATGAGGGCAGACAAAAGCAAGCGAGGTGGGGGGGGGGGTAATGAAAAGCAGCGGGTCGGAGAGGGAGGGAGGAAAGGAGGGAGGCACCTTGCGACCGACACACACACATACACACACAACACGCACACAACACACACACGCACACAAAGACACAACACACACACACACACGCACACAAAGACACAACACGCACACAACACACACACACGCACACACTCACGTGTCCGTCGATGGTGATGCTGCCGTCTGCGGCCTCGAGAATGCGGAAGAGGGCGAGCGTCAGCGACGACTTGCCAGCGCCCGTGCGACCAACGATGCCAATCTACACGTGATTGAGAAAAGGGCAGCAGCAAAACAACAAGGTCGGAGGTGAGCACACGCACGTGGAGAGTGCACGCATATGGAGAGACAGTGCAAGCAATTACAAACAAACAAACAAACAAACACACAAACACACAAACAAACAAACAAACCAGAACAACTCAACACAATCCTTAAAAACACACAACAACGCAACACAACACAAACAAACAAACCTTCTCTCCGGAGCGAATGTCGGCGGAGATGCCGCGAATGACGAGCTCAAGGCCCTCCCTGTAGCGCACGCTGTAGTTGCTGAAGACCACGCGACCGTCCTGGGGCCAGTTGCTGTCGGGCCGCTTCAGCATCACGGGCGGCCGCTCCACGGGGATGTTGCAGTACTCCTCCACGCGCTCAATGGCCACAATGTCTGTCTCAAGCTGGCTCGACATGCGCACCATCCAGTTGAGTGTCTGCGTCACGGACATGGCGTAGCTGAGTGACAGGCCAACAACGCCGCCCGTCACCGTGCCCCGCTTCACCACCGCAAACAGCGCAGCAAAGAAGATGATGCAGTTGCCCAGAAACTCCAGGCGGAGCGCCAACCACCGGTTCGCCGACACCGACGGGTAGTACGCCTGCAGGTTGGTGTCCACCTTGCCCTCGTTCTCCAGAACAAAGTCGTCCTCGCGCTGGTACGCGCGGATGGAGGACACGCCCGCCAGCGTCTCGCTAAAGTGCGCATAGATGGGCGAGCGCGACACGCTCTCCAGCCGCTTCAGCTGGCGCGAGGTGGGCACGTAAAACTTCTGGATGTAGTAGTAGAACACGCCCAGCGGCAGCACGGCCGCCATGAAAATCGGGGTGGAGATGGAGATGACGACGATGATGCTCACCACCTGCATGAAGGTGCTCATGAACGAGCGCAGCGAGCGCGGAATCGTCTCGTCGATCACGTAAATGTCCTTGGAGAAGCGGTTGAGGATGCGGCCCATCGGCGTCGTGTCGAAGAACGACATGGGCGCACGCAGCACGCGCTCAAGCATGTTGGTGTGGAACACGCGCGACGCGTGGATGGACCCGATCGCCATCAGCATGGCCACCGCGTACGTGCCCAGCGAGTTGAGCAGCCCAAGGCCCGTGTACACGCCGAGAAACCCGCCCGTGGTGAGCGGCTCCGTGTAGTTGGCGTGGTGCTGGTGGCGCTCGTCCTGGGAGCTCCAGTACGACAGCCAAAAGTTGGTGCCCACCTGGAAGCCGTACGTGAACAGGTACAGCAGGCCAAGCGAAATGATGATGGTGTAGCTGACAGCCTCAAAGTAGCTCTTGTACACCTGCCACTCCACGCCGCCCTCCATCGCCTGCTCCTGCGCAATGAGCTGCGACAGCTGCTGCGCGTTCTTCTTCGCATCACCCTTGTCGCCGCCGCCCTTGCCGCCACCAACCACTTTGCTCTTCAGGTCTGAAATCAGCTCCTTGGCCTTGGTCGCTGCTTTGGTTGCCGCGCCATCGCCGCCGCGTCCGCCACCGAGCAGGGGCACCTTCTCGTCGTCGTCGTCGTCGTTGTCCTTCTGCTCGTCAATCGACTCAACGTCGTTGATGGAGTGGAACGTGGCCGTGGGCCGCCCGTGCTTCACGACAACGGCGACACCGGCAGTCTCGTCCGTCTGCACGCTCGGCGCGCCACGCTGCTGGCTCCTGTGCAGGGCGTTCTTGTCTGGCCACTGCTCATCCGCACCGGCATCGCTGCTGTCACCGCTGCTGTCGCCATTGCCGGCGCCACGCGTGGACGCCTGCTCTTCCTGCTCCTCGTCTTCCTCGTCCTCCTCACGTTCTGCTTCATTCCTGTCTTCTGCCCGCTGCGTGCGCTGCTTGCGTGATGAGCCGGGCGGGGACGATTTGGGCGACGATGACGGCGACGATGACGGCGATGATGACGACGATGTGGCCTGCGCGTGGCCCTCGTCCTCGCCCTGCCTCTTCTGCTGCTGGGACTGGCACGGCCCGTCCGTGGGCGACGCCGTGCCGCCGGTTCCGGAACCGCTGTCCGCGTCCGCGCTAAAGTCCTCGATGAGGCGGGTGAAGTTGTCGCCCTTGTTCATGAGCTGCGTGTACGTGCCCTGCTCCAGGATGCTGCCCTCGCGCATCATGATGATGTTGTCGCAGTGCGGCAGGACGTGCAGGGCGTGCGTGACCAGCAGGCGCGCCTTGGTGTTAAGGCAGCCCTCGGGGCCAATCACGTGCTTGAAAATGTGCTTGCCGACGTGCGAGTCGACGGCGGAGAGGCAGTCGTCCATGATGTACACGTCGGCGTCCTGGTACACGGCGCGGGCCAGGCTCACCCGCTGCTTCTGTCCGCCAGAGAGGTTGATGCCCTTCTCGCCAATCTCCGTTTGGTCGCCGCCGGGCAGCTGCGCGAAGTCCTCCTCCAGCGCACACGCGCGGACGACGCGCGCGTACTTCTGCTCGTCAAACGGCTTGCCAAAGAGGATGTTGTCACGGAGCGTGGCGTTGCGGATCCACGCCTGCTGCGGCACGTACGCCACGGTGCCCGGGAGTACGACGGTGCCAGACAGGCGCACCATGTCGCCGTGCAGCGCAGAGACGAGGCTCGACTTGCCCGAGCCCACGCGGCCAACAACGGCCGTGCACGTGCGCGGGTCCACCTGGAAGGAGATGTTCTTGAGGACGGGGGTGTGGTCCTTCCAGGCAAAGGTGCCGCGGTCCACGTAAAACGCCGGCAGCACCTGGCCCTTGGGGTCGATGAAGGGCGAGTTGTGCAGGGCGGCCGGGTCGCGGACGACGTTGTTGGGGTCCTTCTCCTCGTGCAGAAGGAAGGTGCGGATGCGCTTGAGACTGACGCTCGCCTCGACCAGAGCAGACACCATCATGGGCAGCATGGCCAGGGGGAAGCGCAGCAGGTTGAACAGCGCAAGCGCAACAAACGCCTTTTGCGCCGTCAGCGTGTGGCCCGTGAGTGTGAAGGTGAGGAACGTGACGAGCGACACGAAGAAGGGCGCAGAGGACCACGAGAACATGCCCAGCGCGCCGAGGTACATGGACTTCTTCAGCACTTCCAGCTCGCTGGTCCGGATCTATGTCGCGTGCGTGTGTGTTGGGGCGAGGGCGAGAGTGAGTGAGAGTGAGTTCGAGTGTGAGTGAGTGTGAGTGAGTAAGTGTGAGTGAGTGTGAGTGAGTGTGAGTGAGTGTGAGTGAGAGAGTCAGTGTGTGTGTGTGTGTGAATGAGTGTGGGTGGGGGTGAGGAAAGTCACGCGCGTGCGAAACGAGGACAGGTGAGAAACAGACAGTGGTACATGAACAGGGGAACGTCCGCGACACCGTCGCCAGCACCAAGTGCCGCGCAAACAAAGAGCCGCCTGACACGCACCTCCTTGACGAAGCCACCAAATGCGCTCTCCCAAGCATACAGCTTGAGCACTTTGATTCCGTTGAGGATCTGCCACCACAAGCAATACAACAGCAACGAGTGTATGCCGCGTGTGCGTGCAAAATGATGAATTAAAAAAGGAGGTGAACGCAGCACACACACACAAAAAAAAATACACCACAAAGACACTCACACGCACACACACACACACACGCAGCACACCTCGTTCATGAGCTTGATGCGCTCATCCTTCTGCTTCATCTGCTTCTTCTGGTAATCACGGCCCTTCTTGGCAATGTAGCCGTTGAGCGGGATCATGAGGATCATCACGCCCAGGCCCGCCAGCGTCGCTGCGCCCATCAGCTGCCACAGAAAGTACAGCGCAAGGGAGATCTGCAGGGGCGCTGACCACACCATGTGGACATACGTCATCAAGTCCATCAAGCGCTGCAAGAACAAAGAAATAAGAGAGAGAGAGAGAAAGAGAAAGAGAGAGGGGGGAGGGAGGGAGGGAGAGAGAGAGAGACAGAGAGAGGGGGATGAGGGTCAGCAAACGGTAGTGATGATCATGTTCATGGGTGAGTCAATGCACGTGGATCTTGAGCCGAGGGCAACACGTGTTGGTTGCATTTGGGAAGCTAGCCATTGTGTGTGGCTGTGTGTGTATGTGTGTGTGTGCAACCAACCTGAGCGTCGACGGACATGAGATTCACAATCTCACCAGAGGTGGTGGATTGACGGGCCGTGTTGCTCAGAACGAGGGCCTTTGAGTAGACGGCTGTGACGACGGATGAGCGGAGACGCATGCCCGTCTTCATCACGCGATGGAAGTATTGGTGCAAGGAGATGGACTGAATAATTGCAGACGCAAAGAGGCCGACAGCCAGCGCGTAGCCGTGCCACCCGGGGGCGTCGTCGTCCTGTGGCGAGATGAAAGGTGTCGTGTAAGATCGCTCATGAGTAAGTGCATGGCGTGCTGCTTTGGTGCTTGACTGCACGTGATCGTGTGCACATGACGGCTCGCGGTACGCTCACAACGACTGAAGGGCATGCGCCAGACACACCCTGTTCATACCATCACATGGCATGTACTTGCACACAGCAATGTCAAAGCACGTACAGTGACAAAGGAGATGAGGTACTTGAGGAGCTGGGGCTGCACAAACGCGAGAACATCCTGGATGGCCTTGAACAGCGCCGCCATGAAAAATGTCCCGCCAAACGCTTGCGTCATCGCCTGTGAAGTGTGTGTGTGTGTGTTCGTTTGTGTGTGTGTGTGTGTGTGTGTGTGTGTGTGATTGAGTGAGCTCAGTGTACTGTCATGTAGACGACATGGCAACGACAGCATCAGCAGCAACAGCAGCAGCGACAACGCAAAGGCAGACGTACGATGATGAGGGACGCCTTGTCCTTTCCTTTGCGAACTTGCTTGGCAAAGGCGTTCTTGAAGCTGGAGGACAAGTAGCCCGCCTGATCTGTGGGCATCAGATTCCACAGGTCTAGACGCCATCACACACAGCCACAGCACATGAAAGACGGTGAAGAAACGGGGCGGGCAAGGAAGCGCGCGAAGCATGAACCAATGCACACACGCACACGCATACTCACACAGACGCATACTCACACAGACGCACACACGCACCCAGACACAGACACACACACGCACACAGACACACAGACACAGACACACAGACACAGACACACAGACACAGACACACGCACGCTCTCTCTCTCTCCTCCTGCGCATTCACCTGTCTCGATGAGGGGCTGCCTGTAGCCCTTGAACATCATCGGGGTCATCCACCAGAAGGAGATGATGGACCAGAGGGTGGCAAACTGCTCCGGGCACGGGTTGGCGTCGGTCGTCTGCGCCGCTGGCGAGGGCTCGTCTTTCATTGCAGCAAGGAAGAACGAGACAATGTCGAAGAACACGCGCGGCCCAAAGAAGCCGAGCAACCAATACGTCAGGTGCCCATGCTGCAATTCAAGACCAGTGTGTGTGTGTGGGGGGGGGTGAGATGGACGGAGAGAAAGAGTGTGTGTCAGCGAGGGTAAGTGTATTTGTGAAACGGATGAGAAGAAGGAAAGCAAATGCGGGAGGTAGTCGAAAGACGGGCACGGCGCGTGCTAGGATCGTGATGCCCAGTGCGGCAGGTCACCAGCACATCAACACTCATACACACATGTCCATACATGGCCTTGGAGGATGATGGTGCGCATGCGCACGGCATCAACGATGAGCACGAGGAGCCAGAAGAAGGCGAGGACGCCAGATGAGAGGACGTTCTTCTTCCGCTCAAACACAAGCAAGACCATGGCAAAGACCTGAACTCGTGCAGGCAGGCGCAATGCAGTGACAAGCAAGGAGCAAAGCGCGTTTGTGAGCTACACACAAATCACTTTGGCCGCATAGTGCACGTGGCTATTGTGCGTGTGTGTGTGTGTGTGTGTGTGTGTGTGTGTGTGTGTGTGTGTGTGTGTGTGTGTGTGTGTGCGTGCGTGTGTGTGTGTGTGTGTGTGTGTGCAGCAGCAGTGCATTCTGTCAAAGTCGCTGTGAAACGTAAGATAGGTGCAACCACGCAATCACGCAACCACGCGCAACGGGTTCTCACTGGTGCTGAGGGCTTACGTAGCCGAGGGCCTGAACGGCTGGCGAGACGATGCGAAAGTCGTAAGTTTGGTCGTAGAGCGCGACGCACATCTCGCCAAGCATGGCGAGGAAGAGAAGAAACCCGGAGAAGAGGCGCAGGGTATGGAGTGTGGTGCTTGGCGCAGGCAACGAGCGCCGCTTGAGCAGCACATACAGGCGCAGACCGCCCACCACCAACAGGTATATGGTGGGAATGGCCGTCAGGATTGTGTCTTCAAAGCAGGTACTAAAATCCAGGCTCTCGTCCCAATTTGGGTCGAGCCGATGGTCCTCTTTCGAGGCAGAAGGGCCCTGCAACGGTGGTGAGGTGCGTGTTTCATGAGTGGAAGACAGACAGAGACAAAGAGAGACAGAGACAGAGACAGAGACAGAGACAAACAAGGGGACAGGGGGTTCCAGCGTGTTGGTGAACGCATGTGTGTGCAAGACAAGAAGCTCGGCAACAGCCTGACGGTGCGTGCACAGGCACTGCATGTGATCAGCAGGCTTGTCACAAATGCAGATACGACAAGCACGACACACAGAAAGCTAGCGCGCGTCTGCGCTGCATGCTGCAAGCTGCATGCTGCTTACCCAGAGGCCGCGGCCACCGCAGAAGGCGATGACACTCATGGTGACGTGGGGAATGCGAAGCAGGAGAGGGGCGGCGTGTGAGCCGGCCAGCCAAGCTAATCAGCAGCTCACTCAACAATCTCCTCCCAAAGCGACGCTTGCGAGTCTGAGAACAAGCGCGGCCAGGCGAGCAGCGTCGAACGCAACAATAAGAAGTAGAGCGAGTAGTGTGTGGTTTGAGCGTTCGCACGCGTGATTGATGTGATGTGAGTAAGCTATGTTGCCGTAACAGTTGAGTTGCTTGATGACGCGGAAGGAGGAAGACCAATAAATGAAATGATGACATGAGACGCCTGACGGGCGGGATGTTGTCTTGAGTGTTTTGTGCTTTGTACAGTGTCGCCGTCATGTCACCCACACGCACAGTTTGTTAACATCATGTCACAACGGCTCACGCACCAGCGAAGACACGGCGTGTTCGAGACAACGTGCTCGGTCGGTCGGTGTTGTGAGTGGATGACGAGATACCGCGCAGAGTCCGGCACAGAAGCACACGTTGAATGACGAGCAAAAGTAGAATATGATTTATGAGCCATGATTCCATGCGTATATAATGCTACCGTGCAGGAAATGGAGGGAAGCCGGCATTTTTCCAGTATTGCGACATGCACAGAGTTTTGCATTTCTGCACGCGCGCACAACTCGCAGTGTCGACATATTGGCAAAGATACCCATAATCGTCATTACCACCACCAACCAGCAACACCAACCAACAGCTACAGCCACATCGCCAGCCATGATGATGCTTGCTGCTTCGAGGACAGGTGCAGTGAGGCGCGGACTTGAATGGGTGGTGTGTGTGTGTGTGCGCGTGTATGTGTGTGTGTGTGCGCGCGTGTATGTGTGTGTGTGTGTGTGCGCGCGTGTATGTGTGTGTGCGTGTGTGTGCGTGTGTGTGTGTGTGTGTGTACACGTGTATGTGTGTGTGCGTGTGTGCGTTGTGCGCTTGGCCAACAACCCCTTCACACAACTCCCTCCCACCACACCGCACCGACACTACACCGACACTACACCGACATTACACCGACACTACACCGACACTACACGCACGCATTGCATGCCTTCACTCGATGGCAGCGGCCCGCGCCGCCTTTGCCGCTCGTACCATGTACACGGCCACCCGCCCCAACCTGCTGATCAACAAGGACACCAAGGTCATCTGCCAGGGTTTCACTGGCCGTCAGGTACTGCCACACAACCCCTGAGACATCCCTCGCACCATGTGCTCACGGGTGTTTGTGCGTGCGCTTTGTGTGTGTGTGTGTGTGTGTGTGTGTGTGTGTGTACGCTATGTACATGTGTGTGTCTGTGTGCGTGTGTGTGTTTGTGTACGCTGTGTGTATGCTGTGCGGGTTGTGTACGCTGTGTGTATGCTGTGCGAGTTGTGTTATCTAGTTCAACCACTCACAAACACACACAAGCACGCACACACGCACTCACACTCGCACTCGCACCGTGTTGTGTGGATTCTCTTCTCTGACTGAAGGGTACCTTCCATAGCGAGGCCGCTATTGAGTACGGCACACGCATGGTTGGCGGCGTGTCCCCAAAGAAGGCCGGCCAGGAGCACCTTGGCCTTCCCGTCTTTGGCAGCGTTGAGGAGGTACCATCCGAACAGCCACCGCTTGCACGCAGGCACATTCACACGCACACAAAACAAAAGTGTACAGCTCTTCCTTGTGCACTGTGAGGCGAAGGCTAATGGTTCTTGATCTTTGCCCCTGCTTGTACTCCGTACCCACTCTTTTCCACTCACCTTCCGGCCTTAAACACACAGGCAAAGCGGGAGACGAACGCTGATGCGACTGTCGTCTACGTCCCTCCCCCTGGCGCCGCAGCCGCCGTCCTGGAGGCCATGGAGGCCGAGGTTCCCCTCATTGTCTGCATCACAGAGGGCATTCCCCAACAGGTTGGTTTGCGTGTGTTTGTTTATTTACTTGTTCGCTTGTTTGTTTGTTTATTTACTTGTTCGCTTGTTTGTTTGTTTGTTGACTTGTTCGCTTGTTTGTTTGTTTGTTTACTTGTTCGCTTGTTTGTTTGTTTGTTTACTTGTTCGCTTGTTTGTTTGTTTGTTTGCGTGCGTGCGTGCTTGCCTGCTTGCTTGCTTGCTTGTTTGTTTGCTTGCTTGTTTGTTTGTTTGTTTGTTGGCTTGTTCGTTTGTTGGCTTGTTCGTTTGCTTGCTCGCCCCCGTGTGGGTTTGAAGAGGTGAGCACACACTCGCTGGCCAACCACTGATTGAGAACATCCCCTCGCCTCACTGCTTGTGGCTGCGCGTGCACCAATCAGGATATGGTTCGCGTGAAGCACGCCCTTCTCCAGCAGGACAAGTCTCGTCTTGTTGGTGCGTCAACAGTTATTCCTTCCAAGGGCTTGAAGAATTGACCTTGTTCTCCGCACGCATCGTGCACGCTATGGTACCTTTGAACCTCACACCAACGTGCTTTCTTCTCAACCTTTCTCTCCACTCTCCCTGTGCGCGTGTGCCTGTTTGTTTGTGTTGTTGTGCACTTCTGCACTTGTCTCTGTGCACTTGTGTACTTGTGGGCTTGTACGCGTTTGCGCATTTGGTTAGGCCCCAACTGCCCCGGCATCATCAAGCCTGGCGAGTGCAAGATTGGCATCATGCCCGGCCACATTCACACCCCAGGCAACATCGGTGAGTGCTCCTGTGCTTGACGTCGGTGTGCGCCCTTCTTCTCCCTGCGATTGTGTGTTTCGTGCTTGGTTGCTTGCCTTTTGCTGCATGCTGACAACCCGAGGCACATTCTTGATCCTGACCGCCCTGCCCTGCTCAACTTGTATTTGACGTCATTAGGTGTTGTATCGCGCTCCGGCACCCTCACGTACGAGGCTGTTGGCCAGACCACCACCGTTGGCCTCGGCCAGTCCCTCTGCGTCGGTGAGTGCGCCCTCACCCCGCTTCTTGTGTGTGGGTGTGTGTGTGCGTGTGTGCGTGTGCGTGTGTGCGTGTGTTCGTGTGGGTGTGCGTGTGTGCGTGTGCGTGTGTGCGGGTGTGTGTGCGTGCGTGTGGGTGGGTGTGGGCGTGGGTGTTCCTTGGTGGGTCTCATCGTTGTTGGAACTGACGACATCACACGTGCTCGCGGCTGTATCGTCTTCCCACATTTGTATCGTGCAGGCATTGGCGGCGATCCCTTCAACGGCACGGACTTTATTGACTGCCTCGACGTCTTCCTCAAGGACCCAGACACGCACGGTTAGTCGTCGCGTGTTGCTGTTGCTGCAGTCGTTACTTGTCTGCGCATGCGGATGTGCGAATGTTTGCGGTCTTGCTTTCTTCTTCCTCGTCTTCGCCTCTGCTTCCCTCTTCCTCTTCCCCCTCTCAACTCACCGTGTCATGTCTCACATGATCTCAATCGGCTGCCGTCTATTGCTATTGCTGCTTCTCCAACTCCTCTCAGGCATCATCATGATTGGCGAGATTGGTGGCTCCGCTGAGGAGGAGGCTGCTGAGTTCCTCAAGCAGAACAACTCGGTCCGTGCATAAATTGTTGTTGTGGCTGTGGTGGTGGTTTCTTTGTTCTTGCTCTTGTTCTTGCTCTTGTTCTTGTTCTTGTTGTGTGCGTGTTCTCATCATCCTGCTTCAGCGTCGCACGGACAACTTTTTTTTTTCTGTCAGCACGGGTTTCTCACCAATCCCACCCCCCCCCCCACCCACACACACACACACACACACACACACACACACACACACACACACACACACACACACACACACACACACACTGTCTTCCCTCGACCGCCGCCAACAGGGCCCCAACCGCAAGCCTGTTGTGTCGTTCATTGCTGGCCTGACTGCTCCCCCTGGCCGCCGCATGGGCCACGCCGGTGCCATCATCTCCGGCGGAAAGGGCGGCGCAGCAGAGAAGGTGCGCACACGTGCTTGTCGGGAGGCTTCGTGTCATTTCTTCAGTGGTCATGGTGGCGATGGTTGTGGGTGTTGAGAACTTTGAGTAGAGTTGGGCATCAGCCTTCTTAGCTTCTGTTGTTTTTGGCGAGTGCACTGCCTGTCAACGTTGTCTCCACCTCACCACCAACGCGACACCCATCTCATCTTCATCTCACCGTTCCCTTTCCCTCTTCCGACAGATTGCTGCGCTTGAGGACGCTGGTGTCATTGTTGCCAAGTCCCCCGCCCAGATGGGCACCCTCATGAAGCAGGTGCGTGATCAATTGTGCTACTGAGATGATGAGCAGAGAGGAGGAGGGTGGGTGGTGGTTTATCCGAGGCGCACGCGCGTTTGATGCGTCGGTGGGCGCGGCGCGTCAGTTGTACCAATACCCACCCAGATCGACCCTTTGTTTGTCATTTCTTGTTGCCGTCGTCAACTCACATTGCCATTGCTGTGATCAGGCCATGGAGGACCGTGCGTAAGCGAACCAACAACTTGGGCTGTCCCCCCGTGCCGGTGTCAGAGATTCATAGCCTGACGGTGCAGAGCGTTGCAACACCCCCACCCCCAAAATCCCAATCCCATTTGCACACTTGCCTGTGCGTATTGGACCAACATTGGCTGCTTCCATCTTTGCTTGTCTTGCGTCACTTTGTTTCGTTTCACCATCATCTTCCTTCTTTCCTTCTTTGCCGCAACTGCCCTTTGTCGTCCCTGTTGTGTCTGTTGCCATTGCCGCCGCTGATCACGTGCTGTTGATATCGTGATGCCTTCCAGTTCATTGTGTCGGCAGCACCCAGTGTCGCGCTCTCCCCCCCCCCAATGTACTTGCCGTAGGGTGTTTCTGTTTGTCGGTCCGTGTGCAATAAACCCTCCTCAGATTGTGTATGTGATGGGTGTGTGTGATGGGTGTGTGTTGGTGCTGCCAGGCGAATTTCCGGCTGGTGTGGGGGAGAAACAAGACGTGCTGTTGTCACATCACCCAAATGACTTGACAGATTGTTGTAACAACAAGAATTGACACGAGCACACGCGCGTGCGCACATGCATCAATCATCATGTGTCTGCTCAGCTAGGATGACAGCCACTGCTGTGCGAGGAGGGCGAGTATTGCAATCAGGATGCCTGCAAACAAGCAAACAACCACAAGCAGCAGAAAAGGGTGGGGTGGGGGTGGGTGTATTCGAACGGGATGAAGCGACTTCAACCAGATGCACAAGCAAGCATGCACACATACACACACAGAGGAACACACATACACACACAAGAACACACGCGCGCGCGCTGACGCAAACTCAACAAACAGCGACCGCACCTGCGATGATGATATCGTAGGACCGCGTGTCTGGTGGCGGCAAGGGCCGTGCAGCCGTCTGCGCCGATGACGTGCGACTCCGCCGCTGCCCGCCTTTACGACGCGAGCTGCTCGGCGCTGTTGCTGCTGCTGTTTCTGGTGTTGATGCCTCTGTTGTGGCCGCTGCCTGTGTGTGCTGCTGCTCAGCACCGCCGTCACCAGTCCCAGCTCGTCTGCGTGCCGACGTTGTTGCCGGTGACCTGGCTGCAGCTGCTGAAGATGAGGAAGACGGTGTGCTGTCACTTGCGCTCTGACTCTCAGATGCTGCTGCTGTTGCAGCTGTAGTCGTCAGAGTAGTGCTTGCTGTGTCTTCTTGGTTGCTCTTCTCTCCGCCTTCCTGTCGGCCCTCTTTCTTCTTCTGATCTGCCTCCTTGGCTTCCGCTATGCGCGTGTCCGTGTATGTGCACGTGCATGTGTATGTGTGCATGTGTGCGTAAGCGTGTGTGGATGCATGTGTGCAAATCAAAGCGAGCATTAACGACGCAATGTGGCACGCGCTTGCGCGTCTGTTTGTGGATGACCCTTGCTCCCACTACAATCAAGCATGCATGTGAGAGGCAGACAGCCAGACAGACAGAGAGACACAGACAGGCAGACGGACAGATAAACAGACAAACAGACCAAGCCACAACCACGAACCTGCCAAGAGCTGTGAAGCGACGCGGTTTGCTTCTTCATCATCGGCGCTCCTGTGTTTGCGTTCCCGCTCCAAGTCATGACTGGGCGTGTGCCCGCACTCTGAACACGTCCACTTGACAGACCTGCAGAGGTGTGGACGAATGAGGTAGCGCACACATATGAGCGTTGAAAGCAGTCGTCTTGAGCAACAGCGACTCGAATACACACAAGCATGCCCAACAAACAGATGAATGAAAAAGTCAAAAGCAAGCAAAACAAGCAACTAAACAAACAATAACAACGCAAGCCAGCAAACAAAAACGCAACAAACACAAACACAAGTAACAAGAGCGGAATCCAAACGCACTGTCGCGCAAGCTTTCGTCGCTCCGCGGGCGCGCAGTCGATGGAGCCAACAGCGCCACGACCTGGCGTCGGCAGGAAAGCAATCAGCGCCACCAACACTGTCCGGACTAGCAGAGGGGAATCACAAAGACAGAAAGAAAGAGAGAGAACGAGGGAGGAGGAGGAGGAGGAGGAGGAGGAGGAGGAGGAGGAGGAGGAGGAGGAGGAGGAGGAGGAGGAGGAGGAGGAGGAGGAGGAGGAGGAGGAGGAGGAGGAGGAGGAGGAGGAGGAGGAGGAGGAGGAGGAGGAGGAGGAGGAGGAGGAGGAGGAGGAGGAGGAGGAGGAGGAGGAGGCAAGGAGTGGCGGGCATGACCGTTGAGAGGGCAAGATGGCAAGGTTGGCGAACCGTGGTCGTGTGAGTGCTGACTTGAACATGACCACCAACACACATACGACCCACAGTTCAGACGAGGCAGAGCACTTTTCGCAACATCAGATTCGCGGTTGGGGTTCAACGCCCACCACTGCATAATATGAGTGAGCTGCCCCCACACTAAGAATTAGAAGAAAAACAGAAGCACGCGTGCATACCCAGTCGCAGAGAGAGAAAGAGAGGAACAGAAACGTGTGCAGCACACACACACACACACGCACATTCACTCATACACGTGAACACGTGAACATCCATAAACACAAACACACAAACACACAAAAACACAAACGCACAAACACACAAACACACAAACGAACTGACGTACACACGTACACATACACTCACGCGACTCACTTGTCCACGCTGGCTGCCATGTTTCTGGATGGTAGTCTGAGATGCTCAAGCACACCCGATCATTGACCTTGAATCTGCCATTTGGCTGTACGTCGACACGAGAGCCCAAACGCAAGCATGCAAGAAAATACATCCGCCACGGCAGGTGAGCGCTCGTGAAAGAAGACGCCAGAGCACCTTGTGTGAGCTGCAGACCTGTCGGTGGTCTGCCTCGCTCGCCCAAGACATCACCCGCACCCGTCTCTGGTGTGATGCCCATGCATTTGCCTGCACAGGTACTCACTGTGAGAAAGAGGATGGCCGGAGGCTTGAGTGGATACTCTGGTGGTAGACGAATCACGCCATGGTAGATGCCTCCTTCAAATTCGGTGCCCTCTGGACCGCGAATCGTGAAGTGCCACTCAAACAAGTTGTCCTTGAAGCGAGGGAAAACGAGGGGGTGTGCCGCACAAGTAAAGACAGAGGGTGAGCAGCATCAGACGTCAAGATGTCGACATGAAGAAGACAAGAGGATCAAAGCAAAGTGTGGACGCGTGGACTGCCGAAGCTGGACAGAGGACCCGACCCAACAACAACGCAATCACGACACGACAACACAACGACAACACCACAACACAACATTACGTAGCCGCAGCACAACAACAACAACACAGCACGCCAGCACCCAAAACCATGCAGAGTTGACAGGCTGACTACCTCAAGGGGGTACGCAACGTAGTCATAGGTGGGCTTTGCCAGTTCCTTCACTTCGCGCAGGATGCGCTTCGTGCCTGAGGTTCCAAACGCAAACAACAGCACCACAACAACACCACAACAACACCACAACAACAACATCAGAACTCTCGACCATTAAGGAATGGATCAACGCTTGCAATGGATCACACATGCCTGTATTTGCGTGTGTGTGTGATGTGTGTGTGTGTGTGTGATGTGTTTGGCCTTCGTAGCCAGGACGGACGCTGCGGGAGGTTCTTCACTCACTCGGGGAGCGATGTGCAAACGCCATGACTTTGGCGGATGGATGGATGAGGGGATGAGGGCTTGCTTCGTCGTCTTGGTTGGTTGTGTTGCTGTGTCAGACGATTCGATTTGGTGATTGTTGGCGATTGCTGCAAATCATTATCAAAATTTCCGCAAAGCCAGCAACGGAGATGGAAGAACAAACGCGAACGACAGAGACGCTGAGCAAAGGGCAGGAGCTGCGAGTGGAGGCTCAGCCACAGCAGCCGGTCTCCGTCAAGGTGTGTGTGTGTGTGTGTGTGTGTGGTTGCACTGCTCTTTACATCTGTACTGCTCTTTACATTTGCACTGCTCTTTACATCTACACTGCTCTTTACATCTGCACTGCTCTTTACATCTGCACTGCTCTTTCCATCTGCACTGCTCTTTACATCTGCACTGCTCTGCCGTGGTCTTGGTTTATTGCCTTGCTGCAGGTCAACTTTGGCAAAGCCGAGCTGCTAGGCACAGAGCTTGTCGCAGGCAAGGAGTACAAATTGAGCAGTGAAAGTCAGCCCATCTTCACTTGGCACGGCTGCTCCATCGCACACACCGCAACCACGGATGCAGCTTATGTCGCAGAGTACGTTCTGTTGTTCTGCTGTGCAGAAAGATCGAGCGAATGGGGACGGGATGGTGCTTCATGCATAGTTCGCCGCTGCATGATCCTGCTTGACGCTCAACCTTGCTGTTAAGTTATTCTCCTGACTCCTTGTTGTGCGTGCAAGTTCCGACTTGTAACCACTCTGCCATCATGCTGCTGTTTTTGAGTCTCTCAACTGCCACTGCGTCTCACTGGAATTCCTTGCTGCTGCCTTGCGCATCACAGGGAAACGCCCATGCGGCAGATGCTGAACCTGCACGCGGCTTTGGAGAACCAGAGACAAAAAGCGCATGATTCCAACGGCCAGGGCCCAAGGGTATGCAACAACTCTCGGATCCAGACCCGTGCACCAATCCTACATGTCAGCTCAGCATTGTAGTTTGTGTTTCGTGTGTGGTACTCCAATCTCACGCACACACACACACACACACACACACACACACACACACACACTGCTTTGTACTTGGCTGTGGGCACAGATCATGGTTGTGGGTCCAGACTTTTCCGGCAAGTCGAGCTGCTGTAGGATTCTTGCCAACTACGCCTGTCGCATGTACCGCACGCCCATCCTCGTCGATGTTGATCCAAATGATGTACGTGCCCGTTGTGGTTTGAGCAGCGTGTCGTCACTGTGGCTGTATTTGCTGTTGTGGGTGGTTGCAACTGCCGTGGTGCTCTTCTCTCCTCCTGGACCGTTGTTGGCTGTCTCCCGTTTTTGTTAATCGTACCCGCGCATCAAGCCTGCTCATCCGTACCGCCATGCCCATGTTCGGACATTCATGAATCTCTCTGTCTATGTATGTATGTGTGTGTGTGAATGTCAGAATTTCTTTGGCATGCCGTGCTGTGTTGCCGCTGCGCCTGTCACGCAACCAGCCGACGCCATATCGGGCTTTGTTGATGCAACACCAGTGGTACGTGTGTGTGTGGGTGTGGGTGTGTGTGTGTGTGTGTGCTTGGACTCTCTGTGGTCTCCAACCCCTCTCTCCCTTGTCCGCCTGTCTGCTTGCTTACCTATTGAGATTTCTCCTCTGTTTCCGTCCTTTGTGAGCATCACTCTTGCATATGCCTGACATGTGTGTTGTTCTTTTCCATGCACACAACCACACATGGTGGCGTGCTGCAGTTTTTCCACTTTGGCCACACCACCGTCAAGGGGAATTCAAAGTTCTATGCGAAAGCGGTGGAGCGCCTTGGCAAGACCGTGCAGGCCAAACTCAGCGAGGTGCGTTCGTCGGCTGCACGCGTGCTCTTGAGTGCGCTTGCTGAGTCACTGAGCCGCTGCTTTGCTGGCCTGTAGCGGCGGCAGCTTGCCTGCTGCTGACTGGCGGTCGTTTGTGTGTGTGTGTGTGTGTGTGTGTGTGTGTGTGTGTGTGTGTGTGTGTGCAAGGCCTTGATTGATATCAAGAAGTGCTCGGGCAGCATCTCTCTCGCTCTCGCTCACGCTGTCGCCATGACTGGCATTTATCTTGCCTCCTCCCTTATGCCTTTCGTGCTAGGATGACAAGGCGCGGGCATCTGGGGTCGTTGTCAACTGCCCCACGTGCCCTTCCGATACGCTTCTTCAGATTCAGGCCGCTTTCAATTGTGGGTCCAGTACATGTTGCTGCTGTCTTGTCATATTGCTGTTGTCATCATTGTCATGGCGAGCGCGTCAGGGTGTGGGTGGCACTGCCCGAGTATGCTGTCAGCTTGCAGCGTTTGTTCGTGGTGATTTGTTGTGAGTTGCTTCGCCTGGAACTCAACCCATTTCACGGTATGGTTATCGTTGTGATTGCCGCCTTCCCTACTTTGTCTCTTCCCTTCTCTTGCCTCGCTCTGCCTTCAGGTGATGTGATTTGCGTCCTGGACCAAGAACGCCTCGTGAACGAACTCAAGCGCAAGCTTACCGCTTCCAAGGTGTGTGCGTTGCTTTGTGTGCTTTGCTTTGGTTGTTTGTTTGGTTGGTTGGTTGTTTGTGTGCTTTGCTTTGTTTGTTCGTTTGTTTGTTTGTGTGCTTTGCTTTGTTTGGTTGTTTGGTTGTTTGTGTCGCGGTACGCGTGCGTGTGCCTGCACATTCGTGTATCTGTCTCCGGTGTCCTGTGTGGGCGTGGGTGTGGGCGTGGGCGTGGGTGTTTGGGTGACAAGTGACAAACGTCTTTTCGCAAAGCGTGTCTTTTTTTTTTTTTTTTGTCTTGTTTTGATGGCGCTAATTGCACACATGTGTACGGTTCTCAATGAAGGTGGACGGGGTAAAGATTCTCAAAATTCCCAAGTCTGGTGGTGTAAGTTTCAGTCCCGGCGTGGAGCAGCACCCACGTGTCATTCTTGCTTATCTCGTCTCGCGCGTGCCTGTGTGTGTCTGTGTCTCTATGTGTGTATCTCTGTGTGCGTGCGTCTGTGTGCGCGTGCGTCTGTGTGTGTGACAATGGATGTGTTTTGGTCATGGACGCAACCACGTTGCTCTGCAAGCACGCTCTAACTGTATCAAAATGGCTGCAACTCGCGCGTCGGACACCCACAGGTAATCCCACTGGAAACAGAGGCCAAGCTGCGGCGAACACAGGAGCGCATTCGCCAGTACTTCTATGGCGTCCCCCACCATAACCCGTTTATGCCCCACTCAGTCTCCATCCCCTTTTCAAGACTGCGCCTCTTCAAAGTTGGCGGTGCGTTCTGACTCTTGGTGTGTGTTTGTGCGTGTGCTGTCTGTGTATCTGTTTGTGTGTGTGTGTGTGTGTGTGTGTGTGTGTGTGTGTGTGCTTGTGTACTTGTGTGTTTGTGATGTAAATGGTGTTGTGCTACCATGGGTTGCACGCTGCCATGACTCTGCTGAAACAGCACTGACTATGCTGTCTGTGCTGCGCTTGCCCTGGGTTTGCTGCCCATGTGCGTTATTCGCCCTGCAGCACCGGAGGTGCCACTGGATTGTTTGCCGATTGGCGCCAAGCGCACCGAACACGAACTCGAGCTTGAGCCCATCCTCAAGTTCTCCGTCGGTACGTTTGCCACGCGTGTGGTTTTGTTTGTTGGCCTGTCTGTCATTGTGCGTGTGTGTATGCAATAGATACTGGGCGTATGTATTGCTTGTCGACAAGGGGTGGGCTACTGTTGCGGGCGCTTCTTCTGTTTCACGTTGCCGCCTTGGCTCCACCACGTCTCATTCGCACTCACACGCACGCACACACACACACATACACACACGCACGCACGCACACACGCACGCACACACACGCACGCACGCACGCACACACGCACGCACACACACACACACACACACAAAATACTCAACACATGGTCCTTTGATTTGTGCAGACCTGCTTCGGCACGTGGTTTCTGTGGTGGGATGCGAGATGACGGCAAACTCTGATCAGATCAAGTACAGTGCATTGTGTGGGTTTGTCGTCATTGAAAGCTACAACGAGGAGCGCGATTCGATCAAGCTGCTGGCCCCAGCACCCGACCGTCTTCCATCCACCGTGTTTCTCTTGCACGAAACATCATTCTCTGACACGTCCTAACCGCAACTTGATGACCATAGTACAATCGTCGTCGCCTGATGGATGTTGCTTGTACTCTTGCTATTAAACCCGTTTTAGCCGGTGTGCAGCCCAGCCACCATCCTCCTTGCAGCTTTCGTGGCACAAATTCAGGCCTACAGCACGTCTGCGACTACACGCAGTTGTGGTCGAGCATCATTGTTTTGCTACCCCATCAACACACACACACACACACATACATACACACACACACACATGCGCGCGCGCACACACACACACACACACACACACACACACACACACACACACACACACACACAGCATCCGGTCGTCCGCAGGCAAAAAACAAGTTTGACATGTCATAGACGCAAATTCTTGTGGGAATGTCCACGCAAGTTTTCATCACACTTCCCGACGCTTTCACCCCTGCAGCACCCTTGTTTGGTTGGCTAGTCGTTGTTGTGTGTTTGTTGTGTTGTGTGGTCAAACAAGTCATCTTCCCTGTCGCTGGCTTGTTGGTGTCTGGACCGTTGGCAGCAAGCACCGCCACTGTACTTCCCCCTCGCATCACACATTCTATTCTGACCCTCTCCTCTTCAACTGAAGCTGAACCTGACACACTGCAACACATTGTCAAGAAGCAAGAGTGCACGAAAGGCCGAAAAGGAGTTCACGCTGCGTGCAAGCCCAGCGCTTCACGCCCAACAAAAGAACCTTGTGCTCGTGCGAAGGAAGCACGGCATCATATCTCTTGCCGCCACCCGCCAACCCAACTCCACCGTTCTTCCTCCAGCATTGCAGTTCCTTTAAGAGCATGGCGCACATGCACATGCGCGCCTTCGCAGCGTACACTCTGCTGTTATCCCTCACGTTGACGTTGGCTGCTCACTCCAGCCATGCGGCAGCAGGTGTGATTTCTGTGCTCGCTCAGTTGTCGCCATGCACATGTGTCTTTTGCACGCAAACACACGCACAGACATGCACCCACACACAGGCGCGCACAGAAAAGCATGTGCACACAAGCACGCACGCACGCACGCACGCACAAAGCACGCACAAAGCACGCACACGCACACGCACACGCACATGCACACCACATGCCACACACACACACACACACGCACGCACCACCATCGCCAAACCCTCATTTACTTTTCACATTCCCTTCTCCTCCCTTCATGTGCACAGCCACGTCGATTCTTCTGACCACCATCTCCAACGAGGCGGAAGTAGGCGAGGACATCCTCGTCACGGTGACTGCGGCCGATGCAAATGGCGATCGAGACAGGACCTTCTTCGGCAGCATCGTCATCGACGACACAGGCGATGTCACGACGGCGCAGACGGTTCAGCTGCAAGTTGGGCAGGCCACAGTGCTGCTGCGCACGCTGTCCTCGAGCACCGTCACTGTATTTGCGCGAGATGATTTCGGTACGGGCCTCGACATGAACACCGCGACGCTGGAGCTGACGTGGCTCCCAGCGCCGCTTGACACCATCATTGTGTCGCCTCTCCCGGATACCGCCATCGTCAACACCACGCAACAACTGCACCTGCAAGGCATCGACTACCTCGGAAACCTTGTGGCAGATCCATTCACCGTCACGCTTCGGAGCAACGCCTCCTCATTGAGCATGCCCTCCTCCGTAGTAATCTCCAACGGGGAAAGGGACGTACCCATTGTCACGACCGTGTCAGAGACAGTGCAAGTCCTTGTCATCGCCACAGCACCAATCCAGGGCCCCGCAGTGCAGCTCATCACATTCACGCCAGGTAAATGTCGTGTGTGCGAAACCAAGGCGGCGGGAGGATGGTGGCAACGGTGGTGATGCCAGAAGCACTGCCAGACACACACACACACACACACACACAC